ATTCTAGATTACTCAACCTGCAACACCATTACAAATAACTCAATCCGAAAACATTAAATATTTTTGTCAACTATGATAGGACATATTATTGAGTAATTTATTTTGGTCACTTAATTTTTTAATATAAATTACGACAACGCTACCAAGAAATCAACATATTATTTTTTTAATTTCAATTAGTGTAAATTGGTTCTTAAATTTTGTCATATTGTTTTTGTTGTAAGTGTTGTCCAATTATTTTTTTCTTGCAAGATTGAGAAAAAAATAAGTACAGTAATATTTTTTTTCTAATTATTAAATTATGTTATTAAATGATGGAGATATTAAATATATTTTTATTTAATATTAAATTAATAAAGTAATGTTAGAGAAGAAGGGTACATTATATTTTTTTAAATGAAATACTATGATAAAATTTGATATTATTAGAGGACAAAATTGTCGATGCTATGTTTTTATTTATTTATTTTGGAAAACAAAATTAATATTAAATATTTTTTATTATTAGAGTAATATTGAAAAACTAAATTATAACATAATATTTGTAACTAAGGTCATGATGCATTGATCTTTGAATAATAGAAATATGACGTCATCTTTGGATAATTAAAAAAATAAACATATTAAAAGTAATGTTATAATACTTTATAAATAAAATATAAAATAAAAATATTTAAATATAGTTATAATTTCTCTAATATATCTACTTTTTAATCTTTCTACTTTTAAATAGTTTCCATAATATTTAATCTTTTGACATGTCTTTATCGTACTTAATTGTTGTTAAAAAATGTTAAAGCTCTAACATAACTACAAACAAAATAGATGAAGAGATTAAGTAAAATGAAGTATATTTAATTTAGATGATTAAACTAAAAAATGTAAAAATATATGTCAAACAATAATAAATAATCATACTAAATAATGACATAAGTAATATTAAATATATTTTTACTATTTTTTAAATATATAAATTATAATAATTATTTTTCTTTAATTTATGATATTTTTATTTTTATTTTTATTTTTATTTTCTCCAATGATAAAAAAAGAACGTTTTAAAAAAAGAATATATTTTATATATAATTATATATGTAAATATTTAATTAAATGTGTTTCAAAGTTTATAAAAATGAAAATCTATTGGTAAATTAAATTTATCATCGTGAAAAATTGTTACTAATTTGCTTACTCAAATTTTTAATATTTAAATTTCATATATTAAGTAATCAAATATGCAAACAGAGAAGACAAATTAGAATAAAATTTTAAATTAAATTGTAAATAATTAATCTTAATTATATGAATTGGCCTAATTAGTATTTTTAATTAGTAAAATTTAAAGTCTTTAAGTGGAAGCCTATTCAATTGGTGCCAAGAAAAAAAAATTGAAGGAAATCAAATTGGGTCAAACCCATTCTTTCCAAATCCTTGACCTCCACAAATGAAGAGAGAAAATATATTTTTTAATTAATTGTGTGGAATAATATAGAATGTGTAAGATAAACATTTGTTTTTCCTGCTTCACGTTTTCTTCTCAATCTTAACACATTTCGTGATTTCTTGTTTGCAATTGAAGGTAAATTTCCGTCTATTTATTTCTTCCAAAATTCAAAAACTTTATTCTCCGTGTTTTTTTTTTTAACCTATAACTTTGCTTTAAAATCTATCTTTTCACAATTTGTTTTTATTTTGAATTACTTTAAAATAATATTAACTTACTTTAAACACGAATATTAAGTTTTGTAATTTGTTGCATAACTGATCCATTATTTTAAAATTTTAATTTGTTGCATAACTGTTGCATTATTTTAAAATTTTAAGTTTAAAACTTAGTTTATTGGATAGAAATTTTGTAGGATAAATTATAAGAATTTAATAGCAATTTCGTTATAATTTTTTATTATGAATTAATATTATTTTTGTATTATTTTTCTTATATCTTGGTAAATATGTTTAGCGGATTCCAATTCTGCATAATGTTCAAGCAAGAAAGAAAGTTTTCACAACAAAATAATTCAAGATTTTTTTGTACTTCCAGTTCTAAATTATTTAAAGGATATTATTTGTTATTTTGTAGTTTATCTATTTTAAAATTTGAGCATGTGTTAAGTATAATCTTTATATTACCGAAGTTTTATTGAACCATTCTTTTAAAAAGTTAATAAATTATGAAATATTGAAATTCGACGTAATAATATTATATGAATTTTATTAAAATTTGATGTCATGGTTATGATTAAAATTGAGATAAATACGTGGAGTTCTATAAATAAATATTACAAAGATAACAAATATGTAAAATTACGAATGTTAAGGGGAGAAGTGATGAAATTGCCTAACTTTTATATATAAAATAAACTCAATCGTTATCATATGTCTTACATTCGATTATGAATTCAAAAAGAATAATATGACTTAAAGTGACGTATTGATAATATGTTTAAGGACTTTCACGATACTCAGGTTATTATGATTTCAATTTTATATATTACATGTGATATACACCACTAATATAATTTAACAAATTATTTGAAAGTATTCATGATTTATTAATATATATTAGATTTTTTTATCGATTAGTCATGATAAACAAAATTTTAAGTTATTTATCGTTTTATATTAATTACTTTATTGAAAGTAATTACTTAATTTTTATTTGTAATGTGTATTATTTTATTGAATTATATAAAGTAAGTGGGATAAAATATGAGTTGTATATAAAAAAAAATTTAAAAGGTTTTATGTAACAATTATTTATTTGTGTTAAAGGACCAATTTGAATCTATTTATGAAAACATTAATTTTATATAAAATTACAAATGTTATTGTATACTATTAATATTTTATAATTCTACCTTCTTGGTATATTATTGTAACTCAACAATTATTATTGTATGATATGTTAGTGGTGAAAAGAAGACTTATTCTTACAATTATTATGTATTTTAGTTGAATTATGAATTGTAGGTTTCTTTTTTTTTTCTTGAAAAATAGGTTAGATAATTATGGAACAATTTTTATATCCATATAAATGGTAATTAACTTTCATTATAAAATTATTATTTATAGATTAAATAATATTAATTTCTTCTCTTTTTTTCATGAAAATTATTTAGATATTTAGGGAGAATAGCTATCATTTACTACTTTAATAAGGTTATAATTTTTATTGTTCATCTTATAATTATATTTAAGTCAAACTTAAAGAAATAATTATATCTTTTCTATTAAGTTAAATTTTAAACTCATTTCAGTTCATCTGCTAAACACATTTTAGAGTGTTATCTATTTTTTATTAATTTTAAAAATTTATTTAAAATTATTATAATAAGCATATAAATTTAGAGTGTTATAAAAAGAAATAATATCTCATATTTTTATTTATCTAACCAACATCTTTTACATTCTCTTTACAAGTAACTTACTGTTTCTAAAATATCTAATATTTTTAATTTTTATATTAGAGGGAACAAATTATTTTAATATATATCTGTAAAAAATCTATTATGTAAGATAGAAAGGGTTTATATTTTGTAAAAATTACCTTTTATATTATAAAAGTCAAGTTAATTCACTACTATATATATATATATATATATATATATATATATATATATATATATATATATATATATATATATATATATATATATATATATATATATATATACATGTATATATAGAGAGAGACTGTAGTAATTTGAAGAAATTATTCAAAGAATATTTATATTATAAGTAAAAAATGAATTACAAAAATTATTATATTTATTAATTTATAAGAAAATTTAATTTATTTTGATTAAAATAAATTAATATAAAAATATTTATATTGTTATTTTATATTATTAATAGATGTAAAAATATAATCTTCACTAATGATGATTGTCTTTTTAATTATCTTTTTCATTGGTTTATGTATATTTAGAAAATACATGACATATTTTGACTAAAGTTCAGGTCAAATATCTAATAAAAATTAATTACATTTTTTGTTATTGTTTTTTATTTATTAATATATTATTATTACTATTATAATTTTTTAATATAATTAACCAGTTATTTTTTTTACATATTATTTTTAAAATATATGATATGAAGCTTAATATTAAACTGTTTTTATAGATGAACTGATATTTAAATTTATTTAACACACATTATAAATGTTTATTTAATGTAATTAATTTACACAGAATAATACTTTTGATATATGAGTTATATTATAATTAAATTTATATTAAGTAAATATTTTTGACATATAAACTATCTTAGATTTATACTAACTATTTTTGTGTGATGTATAAATATTTTTATTTATGTTTATTTTGATTTTCATTCTATGATATTAAAGAAATATAATTTTTTTTATATTATTCGTTTAACAATTTATTATAAAATAAAAACCTTAAAATGTATAATAATGATTTTTTTAATATAAAAAAGATTACTAAGAAATTTAGATAGAAATATGAAAAAATTATCCATTTATAAAATATAAAATAATGTTTTCCTATCGTAACATTCTTATAATAAAAATAATTTTATATTATATTTTATTAACATATTTTTATAATATTCTTATAATAATAATAATACTTTTATACGCTAGTTTTTTATTATTATAAAAATATCAAAATAAGTATGATTATTCCTGACAAAATAAACAAATTTATACTTGTCATATACCGAAGAATGTGTATATCTATAAAACAAGTTTATATAAAAATATTTGTATTGATTGAGAATATAAAATTATTTTACCATGATTATTAAATGTTAGTATTTTTATTAAATTTAAAACTTCAATTATATTTTTTTAATTTTTGTATTAAAACTCTGTACTTCAGACAAAAATAATTATCAGATAATTAAAGTTTTCTTAAAGCATTAATTATATTGTAAATGATTTAAAAATAACTATATTCGAATTAAATGCATATGATGATAATAACTGGACAAAGTGTATAAAATAGATCATATAATGCTCTAAAGCTGACTGAATGCAAAAAAAAAAAAAAAAAAAAACGAAGGGAAAGGAAGTGTGGGAAAACATCAGAAACGAAATTGTGGAGCTTGGGGTTCTTGCAACCTGCGACTGCGGGAGAGAATCGAAGGCGACAAAGCTTGCATCTGATTCTGAGAAGAGGAGGGTTTTCCACTGTTTGCTGTATAATCCGTAAGTCCCTGCCATTTTGTTTGTTCCTAATCTGTTGCCCTTATTTTGTTTGATGCGCGTTTGATCGATCTATCACTTCCCCTTTTTTTCTTTTCAATTCACTTCAATTTTCTCTATCATTTTCCTCTTAATTTCACTTTTGTCAATTGATTTATTCAAACCTTTAGGAATGTGGTCCAATTGGTTGTCGTTCATATGTTTTTGGTTTTGCTCATTTTTTCACTGTTTCCCACGTCTTGGACCAATTGAACCTAGAATTTTAATCTTCTTGTTTTATTTGGGTAATTGAATTGGTATTATAGATGCTTTGTAGGTTTTTGTTGTTGTTTTTGCAATCTCTTTGGGTTTGAGAAGCATATTAGGGTTCGCTCTTGGAGAAGGAATAGTAAGGAAAGTAAGGGAAATTAAAGCAATGACCTGGGTGGTTTGTATGCTAAAATGTGAGAATAAAAGGTGACGTTCTTATTATCATTTGTTTAATAGAGAGAAAACCCTCTTATAGCCTAATTGTAATATAAGTATGTTTGGGTGTTGGTAGCTTCCTTGCACCTTTTCAATCTACTCCTATTCCTGTACTGGTCTTTGGGATTGTTCAGTAAGGTACCATGTGCCCTAAAATTCTTCCTTTGTGTTTGCGATGGGGTTGAGTGAATTGTGGAAGCTCACATGCAAAGACCCAAAAAACCTAATGTTATAGTGGATAGAGGAGAATTGGAAGAGTTTACTTGAGGGGTGTATGGGAGGCATACAGGCTGGAGGTTGTATGTGGGTACTGTTGGAGGAGGCTTCTGCGGGGTATGGGCTTATGGCATAGTAGGATGTTTGTTGGCCAAGGTCCCTAAAAATGTGTATTATCAGTAGCAGGAGTACAACTGTGTAACCCATCATCTCATCATGGCAAGGTGAGATTGCATTCTCTACATCTAAGCATGCCTGTTGCCATGTGCAAGGGTTGTGTGGCTTGGTATTACTGCAAATAGATATGCCTTGCCCTGCCCTGCTTTGCCCCCCTCATACTGCAGGTTATGGGCTACCCTATGGTTAAACGAATTAGGTTTTTGTTTGAAATCCATGTTAATTGCAGTCATTCCTTGCTTGCTTTGCAGCCACTTTTACGACTGCCTTAAAGTGAATCGTTGAGGTGTATCTTAGTCTTTTATTAACTAGAATATGACTCAAATAAAGCTTGCAAAGCTCGGGCAGTCCTCTTACAAGTTGATTTTGTGGGACTGAGTAGGTATCCTAGATTTATTATTGGGCAACATGCATTGCCGTTCTCTTGGCCAATTGCTCTAGGTGTGAAAGGGTGTGTCGCTAAGCTGGCTTAATTGTGGTTACTCCTAGCCCACTTCAACTGCATCTTCTTTGCCCAGCTAAATTGTAGCCTCAAAAGTGGTGTTTAGTCCTATATCAACTAAAGATATGATTTAAATGAAACTTATGAAGTTTGGACAATTCTTACCAAAGTAAGCCAAATTCTAAGAATTTTTATTACTCGGTTTTAGTGGGTAATAGATATAGGATCCCTGGCCTCTCTTAAAATAGGGTTATACAGTTTGGCCTGGAGCTGTATACAGTATACCCAGTTCTATTTATCAGGCCATATAAAGTTCCAATATCCCTTCCATTCTGAGAAAACGAGAAGCTCATTTTCATTTTTCAATTGTCAAGAGTAGAAACTTTGCAGTTACATTATTAGGGAAATGTGGTATACATCTACTGATCTTTTGTACTTTGTTAGAGAAGTCTTCAAAAATCAGGTATTCACTGGGCATACTTCTAGGGATCTTTTGTACTGTATTAGTCATTGAAAGGGATGATAGTTATTTCAAATATCTATATATTATTCCCTCCATCAAATCTAGTTGACACTTCACATATGGATGAGGGGACTAAAAATGTTTCACCTCTGAACTTTAAGGGACCAAATTAATTTGATTATGGGTGTTATAAAATCATCTGTTTTTCCTGCTTTGTTGGATGGCAATAGGATATTGTACTTTTATCTTTACAATGTTGAACTAATGATTTTCACAAAATAGAATGAATAGTAACATGTGTGGAGCATAATGTTTTTCTAAAGGAAGTTATATTAGAGAGAAAATATGAGAGGTGCAACTAGGCCGTGGATAAGGAATCCTGCAAAAGAAGAAAATTTTTTCATGTGAAATATGGAGATTATTTATGAATTTCTGTCTTTGTTGCACTACTTATGTTCTGGTCATATAGCCCCAGGCTTGATTACCAAAGGATAAAGTTTAAAATGCCACAAGTCAGATATGCTAATACCTTTTACATTTTAAATATTTTTCCGGGCATATAATTTTTTGTCCCTAAAACATGTTTTTTCTATTAGTTCCTATTTAACTTTCATTCGTTATAATCTTTAGAAATTATGAAAAACATGTACTTTTAGTCCTTAGAGAGGGACTAATGACACATTGTTTTAGGTAAACTTTAGGGACTATAAACTGTTAAGGTTCCAACATAAAACCAATTGGCTATATGTGGAGTAGCCTAACATGTATTTAAACCATATCAAATAACATGCATGAGGTAGGCGATGTGAGACTTCCAACACGTCCCCTCCAACGAAGCCTGCCGGACTAGGAAAATGGTACTTTTGACCCAACTAAAGGGCAACTTTTGACCCATGACAATACTCGGAAATATGTTAGGCTTTGACTTTGATACCATGTTAAGGTTCCAACATAAAACCACTTGGCAATATGAGGAGTAGCCTAACATGTATTTAAACCATACCAAATAACATGAGGTAGGCGATGTGAGACTTCCAACATAAACAAATAAAGTTTAAATAGTGACTACTGACTAAAACGTAAGCAAAAAAAAAACATTATACTTTTAACTGAAAACATGTTCAAGCATAAAAAATGAAAGCATTTGTTATTTGAAAGAATATACTCCACCTTTTATCAGGTAGAATTATTGCACATGCTTAATGTGCTTATGCCTCAGCTATAAGTTAGGATTCTGTTACAAAAAGTAATCAATTAGATGTCTATGACGGTTAAAACCTTGGAAGCACCAACACCTTTGTAAAACATGTTGGATACTGTTAAGGTTCCAACATAAAACCAATTGGCAATATGTGAAGTAACCTAACATGTATTTAAACCATACCAAATGACATGAGGCAGGTGATGTGAGACTTTCAACACGCCCCCTCCAACAAAGCCTGCCAGATCAGGCAAAGAGTACTTTTGACCCAAATAAATGACAACTTTTGGCCCATGACAATAACCGGAAAGATGTTAGGCTTTAACTCTGATACCATGTTAAGGTTCCAACATAAAACCAATTGGCAATATGTGGAGTAGCCTAACATGTATTTAAACCATACCAAATGATATGAGGTAGGTGATGTGAGACTTTCAACAGATACTTTTCAGACATGATATTTGTTGGACACACTTAGACACACCTCAACTATGTCATAATTAATTTTTTTCTTCTTCTTAGACACCTTTTCAGAAAAGTTTGGACACCACTCGAACACAGCTGAGAACAAGTAAACAGAGTGAGTTAACACCTATTATTGGCTAAACACTTTATAGATACTTCTATCATAAGGAAAATAAAAGAAAATCAACTTAGGGCTCATAAATTTTTTTGTTAGGCTTGTTTCCATAGGATTTAACTAGTTGTTTTAACTAGTAAGATATATGTTTCTTATTATACTATTTGTGAGGGTCTCTAGTATATGAAAACTGATTTAATTTGATTTTAGAATGTGATTTATATAAATTTTAGTTCTCAATTTAGATTTTTGTTGTGATGATTATATTTGTTCATATTAGAAAGTGAACTTTAATCCTAACTCAAACTCACAAAACCAGCTTGTAGGAAAGATTTGCATTCATTTATATACTCTAATTTTGTCATATCTCTAGTCAATGTAGGATATTCAATACACATCCTTATATTGAGGATATGACATCTTTAGTGTGGGAATAGATATTTATGGGTCCGATAGCTAGTGGCACAATAGGTCGAACAAACTTTGTTTGGATAAGCTCTTACCATATTAGGAAGTTTACTTTAAGCCTAATTCAACTTCTTAAAATTGAATTCTAAGGAGAGGTTTGTATCTATTTATATACTATAATTTGGTCATATTTCTAGTCCATGTGAGATCTTCAACAATATATGTAAGCAGTGAGTGTTCCCATGCTATATACTTTGGACATTAGTCATGTCCCGGTGTTCACCTAAATGTTGTTTCCATTGTTAGAGTCGAAGCTTCATAGGATATAATGAACTAAATTCTTATAACTGGTCAACAGCTAGCTCTCTGCTATAAACCATGATGAGATACTAGATTTTGAACCTAAGCCTGATCATTGAAACTAAATTCTTATAACTGGTCCAGAGCTAGCAATCTACTATAACTTATGAAGATGAGATAGTGGATCTTGGACCTAATCCCAATCATTGGGACTTAACATGTCCAGCTGTACAAGGATCAATTGCTGGATCCAAGACCAAAAGAAATTGAGGATCTTGAAGTTTTATAACAAAGGGCATCATGATGGGTGATATGACATTAATTAGCTAGCTGATGTGTCATGTTTGTAATATAGGTGGAAGGCTACCTGTATTTAGGGAGGAGGGTTAGTAAGGTGGGGTAGTTCTTTCACAGACAGAAAGTTTAAGGTAGAGCCATAGACTTTGGTTGTTATCTTCTTGCTTTTGCAAGCTCCTTGTTTATTTTACCAAATCGATACATACTTTTCCTTTTAGTTTTCATTGTTCAACATAGGTGATGGGCTGAACATGATGCAAAGAAGTTGAGAACATATGAATAGCCAATTTTGTTTCTCTTCCTAACCCCTCTCTCTTTCCTGTTATTTTCTTTCATTGTCCTACATTAACCATGGATTAAATTTCTGCATTTCTGTTATAGTATTCATGATTCCAGGTACATGATATTCATTTATTTTATATGGCTTCCAGAATCTTTCTGCTACATGATGTTGAACAAATGATACAGAATTTATTCTGTGCACAGAAAAACTGGTATTTATGGCAGGACTTATGCCTGGAGAGTTGCCACATCATGGACCATCTGACGGAAACTCTGGTAAAAGTTCTAAAGACAAGCAAGAGGAATCATTAGGCCGCTGGTATATGTCTAGAAAAGAGATAGAGGAACATTCCCCATCAAGAAAAGATGGAATTGACTTGAAGAAAGAGACATATCTACGCAAGTCATACTGCACGTTCCTGCAGGATTTAGGCATGAGACTTAAAGTGTGAGTTTGCTGCTACTGATATTATTATAAATGTTTGATTATTACTTTCTGGATTCACATGCCTGCTTCGTATGTGTGGGATTGCTCTAAGTGATGTATGCTTCATTCTGTTTTTTTACTTTTTTCTTTATTTCCTTTTCACTTCTGCAATCCTTTATTTTCTTTCTGATTTCTTAACAGTAATGGTTTATGTGAAACTTTCCGTAAATTATAATGTTATTCATCTGAATGATACACCCCACCAATGCAATCATGTATTGCATGATAATGAAAGCATTATGAGCATATGCTTGCTTAATCTCTGCAATTTGTTTACCCTTTTCTGCTTTACTTGGTTCTGTGATATTTTATAATTATATTTTTGGAGTATTTGCAATATAAATATGGCAATTACCTCTAGAATGCAGTTTTTTTTTTTCTTCTTGTGATGCTATAAATATTTATATCCTATTTTTGAAATTTAGTTGGAGGTTTACATATTAATTGTAATGTTGGTCAATGCAGGCCTCAGGTAACTATAGCCACGGCCATAATCTTTTGTCATCGATTCTTTCTTCGACAATCTCATGCAAAGAACGACCGAAGGGTGGGTTGTTGCACTTTCAAATAGATATTTTGTAGGCATTTTACCTCTCTAGAGCTTAAGTTGCCACATAATTTAGTGCTATGTTTGTGTTCTTGCCATTGTGGATAAGCAGTATATCATAAGTGTTATAGACAAATATAAATATCTTAATACTATCTAGAAGATGGTTTGTGTTGTGTGGAATTCTTTTTCTTAATTTATTTTTGACTATAATATTGTCCGTTTCTCTTGTTTAACAACATATGCTTGATTTTGGATGTTTTTTTCTAATAAATGGAAGCTAACTATATTGTTTGTTGTTGTGACTCATGATATGAATGCCTAGATATTGTGATGTTTCCATATTTTATCTCGATAAAAGTCATAATAAATAACATAAAGGAGAAGCCCAAGCTTAAGAATTAGAACTTATTTATACTCCATATGTGTTTTTGGTTATTTCAAAATTGTTTTGTCTAAGAATGAGTGTCCTGACCTTATGTATACTATGATAACATCGTTAGAGTCAATTCTCACATTCAAGGTATTGTCCGCTTTGAAACTCTCGTCCGTTGCGATTTTGTCCTTAAAAGGCGTCTCCGTGGGTTGAGAGAGAAGGGTATGTATAAACTGTCTTTGGCTTCGACTTTTAAACAATGTGAGATTCATGAGCGTATCGGAACATAAACCCTTCCAGTTGAGGATTAAGGGGTATGTATGAGTAGAACAAGACTGTACTCTTGGCTTCACTGTGGATGCTAATGTTCCGTCTAATAACGAGAGTGTTCCGGTCTCATATCCGTTATAATAACATCATTAGGGTTAATTTCTATGTTCGAGTTATTATCTGCTGTGGAACTCTTGTCTGTTATGGTTTTGTTCTTAAAAAGCGCCTCAGTTGGTTAAGAGAAAAGTTTGTATATAAACTACCTTTGATCTTGATTCCTAAGTGATGTGAGATTCATAAACGTACTAGAATAAAACAATTTATGTGAACTATTCTTAGAAAAAGTTGGGATGTTATGTCTTATGTTTGTCTAACTATAATATATCATTCTCAGTATTGAAAATGTTACAAGTGCATTTAGTCAATGAAATGAGAGAGGGATGGCCATAAAAGAATGAGTGTTGATAATGAATAGAATTGGGTATACTTATTTTTAAATATATATTTGAGATATGCTGCGGATGATTGATGTTGAATAAGGTGCCAACCTAAATGAAATTGTAATCAACATAGTGAAGCTTTTGCATATATTATTTAAAAAAAAGGTTGAAAGGACTTCTATATGTTTTGGACGATGTCTATATACTGACTGCAGGATTTATTGATTCTCAATAGGAATTTGTAACTAAGAATATATATTTTCTGTTTTTCCAAATATTATTATTTTAGATAAGTTTTCTACTTTGTATGCAATCTGGTTTGAACAGGATCTCTCTATTTTGTAGTTGAAGGTGAATCAATATTCTAAGTTTGCAACTTTGAATGTTGATATTTCACTGAAAATTTTATCATCTATCCCAATTTACTATTTAACTCTTATATCTTACATTTGTTTCAAATCCCAACTGCTGCCTAAACTTTTCTGTTTACTGAACTTTGAAAACCTTTAAAACATCTGTACTTTCTTATGTGAGTTCTATAATTATTTGATATAAGGAGATTGCTATTATTTTCCCAATTTATATTACAAGAATGGTATATGTGAAAGCTCTTTATTCTTCAAGATTACATAATCAAAACCTCATAATTCAGTTGATGAACCTTTTTGCAGACCATTGCAACAGTTTGCATGTTTCTTGCTGGGAAGGTTGAAGAGACTCCTCGGCCACTAAAGGATGTTATTCTTGTTTCTTATGAGATCATTCACAAGAAGGATCCCGCAGCTGCACAGAGGATAAAACAGAAGGTGTTTTATTACTGATGGTGCTTTGATCAGTTCACTCCTATACATCAACATTTTGACTTAGGATTTAGCTGAGATCTTATCGCTGCTGCATTTAACTCGAGAGACTTTTTTCTTGCTGTCTGTCTTCTTTCTCCTAGTGTCTAGAATGGACTAGGTTTCTTTCCTATTTGCTTCAAGACTGTGCCTCCCTCCAACTTGTCAGTTTCTAGCCAACACATCATCTGTCTAGATTATAATGTCAAACATAATAGATGTGTCCTGAATATTGAAATCCTCTAAAATGTTCATCGGTCTTGTAAATTATGTATAGTATCCAAGTTTTTAATTTGAGTGCTTAATAACTAGTTAATTTGAACTGGTTGCCTGGATTTTCTAAATTTTATCATTAAGGAAATGTTCTTTCCCATTCTATTGGATTGATCTGTTTCCATTTCCAACTGCTGTATATTGGTAAAGTATCTACATGGTCCCTTTTCGACTTCCTTTTTATACTCCTTTCTATTGTGTTGTTTTTTTCCTTTACCCTTTATATATATACTTGTTCAATATAAATCGTAATGATGCAGGAAGTATATGAGCAGCAAAAAGAATTAATTTTACTTGGAGAGAGGGTTGTGCTCGCCACTTTAGCTTTCGATCTGAATGTTCAACATCCTTATAAACCTCTTGTGGAGGCCATAAAGAAGTTCAATGTTGCAAAGAATGCCCTTGCCCAAGTTGCGTGGAACTTTGTTAACGATGGGTATGATGAAGTTTCCATTTGTTCGAGTTTAACTTTGTTGAATTTATTTTTGAAGTATATTTGTTCACACACTGGAAAGTGGCTTTCAGGCTGAGGACATCGCTCTGCCTACAATTTAAGCCACATCATATCGCAGCAGGTGCCATTTTCCTTGCTGCCAAGTTCTTGAAAGTGAAGCTTCCATCAGATGGTGAGAAGGTTTGGTGGCAAGAGTTTGATGTCACCCCACGTCAATTAGAGGGTTGGTGTCATACCCTCAATTCATTTGCATGCTAACAAAATTGATCTGATTGGATGGCCTGTTGTGTTCCCTTGGTTTTAAGGCATTTTATGATTTTTGCTGTTGTCAGTTATCTCGATGGTTTTATCCCTGTTTCCTGATCAAATTAGGAATTCTCATAAGAGAACAGTTTAATGCTAGAAATAGTTTAAAACGATCTGTCCTTCTGTATGTATGTACGCTTCCGTATCCTTCTCAGTCCTTGGTATTTTCCCTCGCAGAAGTTAGCAATCAAATGTTGGAACTCTATGAGCAGAATAGAATTCCACCAGCACAGGGAAGTGAAGTAGAAGGAAGTGCTGGAGGTACAAGATCAAAGGCTCCTGCTGTGAATGAGGAACAGGCGTCAAAGCAAATATCATCTCAAGTACCTCAGCACTCATCCGCAGAAAGAACTGTGGTACCACAAAGAGGAACTGAGAACCAAAGCAACGATGGGAGTGCAGAAATGGGCAGTGACATAACTGATCACAAAATGGACTTGGACAATAGGGAGTCTCAGAATTCAGAACAGTTGACTCAGAAAGATAACAAGAGAGAAGTGTCAAATAGATCTAAATCTGGCTCCGAACGATTAGTTGCAGGAGACCAAGAGAGAATGGTTGGGACTAAGGAGGGTGCAGAAGTAGGAAGGAAAGATGAATCAATAGTATACAATTCTGGAAGCAATGTTGGTCGAAATCTGGAGCGCCGCGAAGGCCCACTAAGTCATTCACCCAAAGAAGCAATCAAGATTGACAAAGACAAGTTAAAGGCTGCGTTGGAGAAGAGGAGAAAGGAACGAGGGGAAATGACATTAAAGAAAGATGTAATGGATGAGGATGATCTCATTGAGAGGGAGCTTGAAGATGGAGTTGAATTGGCAGTTGAGGATGAGAAAAATAAGCGTGAGAGAAGACAGAACTGGTCTAAGCCTGATGGTGAAGATCATCATGGCAAGAACCAAGAAGAAACTAGAGATGGTAGGCACATGAGCATGAAGGGGCAGTTTCAGAAAGACATGGAGGAGGAGAATGCAGAAGAAGGGGAGATGATTGATGATGCTTCATCCTCATTGAACAATCGCAAGAGAAGGATGGGAAGCCCTCCAGGGAGGCAACCAGAGATGAAAAAGCGGCCCGATTCCAATTATCACAATGATCTTTCTGAATAAAGGAACAGGGAAAGGGGAGAGTTGGTTATGTAAGACATGGAAAGAAAGGAATGAGGAGCAAAATCATTGTTGAGGTGAATATTCTGCTGTCCTTTATTTGCTTATTGTGGTTTGGCTAATCGGTTGCTAAAGAATTAATGATTCTGAACGCTCTTGTTTGCCTTATACATTTATTATTCAAGGAACGGGATGCCTCAGTTTTGGTAGTGCCATCAAAGGCTTATTATTATTATTTTTTGCGGGGGGGAGGGGGACTGTTGAGAACCTTATGCTATTTATTTAATTTAATACATATGAATATATTTTACCCGAGTTGTGTTGCTAAATATTTCTGCAAGCCCCCTGATTTGAAATAATTAATAGCTGCAATCGCCAAAGGTCAAAATATGAATTGTAAGTAACCCCTCATCCTACCTTTCACCCAACTTTCAAAGTCTGAGAGAATCTTAAGCCGAATGTTGGCAGAAGTTTTTTAATTTTATCATCTTTTTTCCTGTTGCGTGAAACATAGTGGGTCTTTTTAAATTATGAAAGTTTCACTTATTTAATGAAGTTATATTAATATATATATACCAAATAGTAGTGTGGTTTTGTTAGGATGCACGAATGGAAATAAAAAAAAAAAATCTATTGAATTTGATGAAAAAGAACAATAAATAAGAGAACAATCTCTTCCTTTTTCCTATCTTTCTTCTGTTTATACCCTTCTAATTAATTAATTAAATTATTAATGTTTTAATTATCTTAACTAATTTTTCTTCTTGTATTCTGCACGTGTTGCCAAACAACCAAAACTGTACCAAAAAAAAAATTAAAATTGTGGAGTATTTGCTTTCTTCTCTTATCATATCACCATGGGTGAAGGCTATGGTATAAGAGGGATCAATTCTCCCACCGCAGGACAGATATTTTTCAGAAAAATAATGTTTTGACAATTTTTTGTCAAAAATATCCTTTCAATAATTAAATATATTAATATAATAGTATTATTTGTTATTATTTACGATTGTTTGAGGTTGTCAATATCGATTACTTACTCTTTTTTTCTGTTTTTCTTCGTGTTTTTCCAATCTACCTTTCTTTCTGGGAAAATAAAAGACCTATGAGAAACAGGACGAGTGAGAGATAAGAGTGAGTGTATGTGACAGAAAACCCTGCGTGGTGGTGCATGGAAGTTCATCCATCAAAAACGTCGACTGATTTGCCTTAATCTTTGCTTGCATTCGATTAGATTATCTAAAATTTTTGAAGGTTTACTACTCAAAACAACATAGCCATCATATCATGGTTGACAATGTGATTCATTCTTTGATGATGGTATCATTTATTATTTATTAATAACATATTATTTGTTCTCCTTTTTCATAATGATTTGGTAAAGATCTTTCATATCATTGCCAAGAAAATTATTAAATTCAAGAAAATACATGTTATGAAGGGCTAAATAAACAAAACAAGAATTTCACTTCATCATATACTTAAACATCATTCTTTCATGATCAAGTCAAGATTGTTGGTACCTCTACACCGTTGTTGGATTTTTTTTGAGTTTAAAAAATATATTTTTAAATAATAGATATATTATATGAAAAACTTCAATATTATATATATATATATATATATATATATATATATATTAAAAATATAATAAATATTTAGTATTAACAATATTTCAATCTTTATTTCCTAAATTAAAATAATAATAATAATATAATATATTTTTTCTCTTTCTCTAAACATTATTCTAAAAATTAAAACATAAAAAATAACTCTTAATAACTAATTTAAATAACAAATAACTAGACATATATTCTTAACACAAATATTTATGTTGAAGATGGAACTATAATTGGAGATAAAGTTGGCTTATCAAACTAACTAGATCATCTTTCAACACACTTTATTCTAGACCAATCGTGGCATACCACTCTTTCCACTAACTAATTTCTTGTTAAAAATATTTTTTACCATTTTCATGTTGAAATGATGGATTATATTGGTATAAAAGGTATTTAGATTCTCTTGAGGTCATGTTATGTTGATCATTCTCCATGATTTCAATATCTAAAACAAAAAGAGATTGGGACAATTGATCTTAGTAGGATGATAGAGGAAAAGACCTTATTTAACAATAGAAAACATGTAATTGTGTTTTCCTCTCAACTAAAAACCCACGAAAACGATATTTCCAGCAAAGCCAAGGAAAATAAAGGTTTATTAAGGAAAACTTTAAAAACTGAGGTTGAGTTAATAGTCATACAAGACTAAGATATTGTGAATAAGAAAAATATTATTTTAGTTGAAAATCTTATTCACAAAATATTTTTAGAAGAACATTATATCTTAGTCTTGAAATAATATTACCTAAATTTCTTTTAAACTTAATGTGTGATAATGGTCGTTAATTATTCAACTTTAAATAATCAATAGTTGATATTAAGAATTTAACTTGACCCTTAGCCATTGGAAAATGGTCAAGAATATCATTTTCTGAAAGAATGAAAGGCTAAAGTGAAATAATATTATTGTGCATTTAGAGTTGGAAAAAGTAAAGATTAGAGTTGAAGAGTACAACCATGTCAACATGACATATAATCTAAAAATTGTGCATAAATGATTTAGAACCAACCACAAGTGTAATGTGAAAAATATGTAAACATAGTTATGATTCATCGATAAAGACCTTAGAGAAATAGATAACAACATTACAGTTTTAGAGATTGTACATCTATGCCTAACTTTGTAGTGAATGAAGATGGGGGCATGCTGCATGTTGCTCTGTTGGTTGAAACAGAGTCAATATTTTTTGAGCAAATTATCAAGGAACTTAAATAAAAGGTAATGATGAAGGAGGAATTTAGGACTATAGAGAAAAAACACATTCCGGAGCTTGCCACATTACATCACAATAGAAGGCCTATTAGAGTGAAATAAGTCTTTAAAGTAAAGGTAAATACGTTGTAGAAGTTACAAAATACTATAATAGGTTGGTTGCAAAGGAGTTTTGCAAAAAAACTTGTTTGAATTTTGATGAAGTGTTTATACTAGTGGTTGCTATAGACACTTTTAGATATTGGACATTAAATCATTTTAATATAAAGTCGATCTTCTTAAATGACTTATTAAAGGAAGAAATTTTATATAGATTAACCTTCTTGTTTTGAAGTGACAAAACATGGAGATATAGTGTATAAATTGAAGAAGACTTCATATAGGGTAAACTTAGTTCCCTAGGTTGTAATAAAAGAATATCAATAGAATATAGAGTGTGTGTGAAGGTTAATGTTAGTGATAGTTTGTCTCTACCTACGTGACCTACTAGTTACTAATAGCAAAACAATAAACATTGGTAAGTTTAAATGAAAAATTATATTGAAATTTGAGATGATTGATGTAGGATTATTATTTTATTTTTTAAGAATATAATTTGTATCAATTAGTGATGAAATTTTCATGCATCAAAGAAGGATGTCACTTAAATATTATAAAGACTCCATATGATAGATTCTAATTATGTTGAAACACTAGTTGATTGTGATATAACTTTAGAGAAGAAAGAAAATGATACAATAAATAATAATAAAACCTTGTATAAATAAATTAGGTCTTTACTAGTTTTATGCAATGTTATACTTTAACATGATTTATAAAGTGAGGTTGATGAGTGGATTTGTGGTTCATTTAAGACTTTTTCATTTGAGATATGTGAATGACATTTTGAAATTTGAGTTATTTTTTTTAAATATTAAAATATTATTGATAAATTATTTGACTATTATAATTTAGATAAATATGATGACAAAAATAATAAAAAAATATAATATATAAATTATTTTAAATAATTGTATAAATAATGATTAGAAATAAGTAATTATTATTTATTAAAATATAATTTCAAAATATTTAATAAATGACCTAATCAAATTATTTTTTAATATATTATTTTAATTTATATAAAAAAATTATTACTTTTAAACTTGTTTAATTGAGATTTTATTTTAAATTAATTAGTGTTGATTATAAATATTATGATTAATAATTTTATCAACTCATAAATCCAATAATTTGAATCAAATAAACACTTAAAGAAACTATTATTTTTAAATTATATATATATATATATAGATATAGATATATCATGAAATCTAATCTCCAACATTCTTCTTCAATTATCATTACTCTCATAAGCCGCTCACTTTTTTTCCTATGTCATCTTTTTTATTGAATAAAATTGATCAAAAGTAAAAAAAAAAAATATTGAAATAATCTTATTTTTTATTTAAAGACTCTCGTGATTTAAAAGTGGGGTGTTTTTAATAAAATAATTTTAACATTATAGTAAAATTTTAATTAATTTATGATAAACTAAAGAATTAGACTGGTAATAGAAGTAAGGCCCAATCTGACCCAAAACACAGCAAAACAGAATGTAAAAGTAAAACAGATTGTAAAAGCAAAACAAAAAACAGTATAGTAGAAAAATATGCTAGGAAAAAGTACTGTATATAAGACAAATTTGTTTTCACTCTTTTCCTATTAGGACATCTTTTATGTATTTATATTACATCTTTATGAAACGAATGCAACAGTGAATTACATTTCCATCATTGTCTTTTTTTTCTTCTTCTTCTTTGTCTCTGTCTCTTTTATGGTATCAGAGCTCCTCTCTGGAGTTCAGTTCTCTTTCTTCTCTCCATCATGACATATACTAATTCCAATACCATCAGTCATGGCCAAGAATTCAATCCTAATATCTCTCCTGACCCTAGCCTCATTCCTTCTAGTCCCTTTTATATTCATCCCAGTGAAGGACCTAGTTCTGTTTCTATCACACCTGTTCTTATAGAAAATAATTACCATTCTTGGTCTCGCTCTTTTCGAATGACTTTGATTTCCAAAAATAAAATGGGTTTTTTGACAGGTTCCACACTTGTTCCTTCTCCTACAAATATCTTGCATCCTTCGTGGAAACGTTGCAATACCTTGATCATGTCTTGCCTTCTTAACTCTTTGTCTCCCTCCATTGCTCAGAGTGTGATCTTCTTTGACCGTGCCATTGATATTTGGACCGATCTCCGAGAACGTTTTTCTCAAGGAGACTTACTTCGTATTGCAGAGCTCCATGAAGAAATCTATGACCTTCACCAAAGTTCCAAGTCTGTCTCTGACTATTATACTGCCCTCAAGTCTTTTTGGGATGAGCTAGACAATTTTCGCCCTTTTCCTGTTTGCAATTGTTATGCCAAAACATTGGATGAGCGATTCTCAATGGTACATCCCAAATCTTACTCATGGATCCTCTTCCTTCCATCAATCGTGTATTCTCCATGATCATCCAGCAATAACGTCAACATAACTCGTCTCTGTCGTCAACAAACATTGAGGGAGTCAATCCATTCATCAATGTCATCAGTTCCTCTTCCCATAACAGAGGTCGCGGTGGCGGTCCTTCCCCATATAGAAAATTTCAGCGGAACTCAAGTAAATATTGTTCCTACTGCAAACGCATCGGTCACACCAGTGATGTGTGCTATAGCAAACATGGCTATCCTCTTGGTCACCCTCGCTATCCCCATAGACCACACTTTAACAATGATAATGGCCGCAATGGCGATGACTCTTCCTCCTCTGTCAACAGTGTCGTCCAACACCCATCCATTAATGGTTCGCAGGTGACAACGGAGGCAAACTCACATCAATCGAGGTTTACTCTAACCCAGGCCCAATTTCAGCAAGTAATGGACCTTATCCAGCAACCAATTTCTTCTTCTAATAATGTGGGCCCAGTTGATAAAGTCTAGCCTCCAAGAGTCAATTTTTCTCAGATCAAATAAAAAGGCCCAATTTCTGATTCTCTTAGTATTTCTTTCGTTTTTTTTGCACCACCACACATGCTCTTAACTTTAGTAAACACACACTTTCACCATCATCACCCATTGTCTCTTGGATCATTGACTCTGGAGTAATGGATCATGTCGCTTCCTCTCTCCATTTTTTTCAAAATTATTCAAAAATAAAACTTGTTAATATATATTTACCCAATAATACCATTGTTAAATCTTGTTTTTTTTTGTCCAATTTTCCCCAAATTTCATAATCCATGATGTGTTATATGTACCAAAGTTTAATTTCAATCTTCTTTGTATATCTAAATTAATTTCCTCTTTTAAATACTTACTCATTTTTTCTCATGATACTTGTCAAATACAAGAAATGGATACCTGTCGGATGATTGGTTTGGCTAAATTGACAAAATGTCTTTACTATTTAGAACACAAAAAAGAAGGTGAAAGTCTTATTTCTTGTGCCAACAATATTGTTACCCTATCTTTATCCTCAACCAACTTATGGCATTTTAGATTAGACCACCTCTGAAAAACGTCTCAATGACTTGCATAATAAATTTCCTTTTATTCCAAAACATGTTACTGAAAATTGTAATATTTGTCATCTTTCAAAACAAAGAAAATTGTCTTATACCTCAAGCACAAGTAGAGCTTTCAATATTTTTGATCTAATTCATATGGACATTTGGAGTCCCTTTTTTACTATTTCTCTTCATGGTCACAAGTATTTTTTTATTTATTCTTGATGATTATAGTCGATTCACTTGGGTTGTTTTATTAAAGTCCAAAGCCGAAGTAAAAACACATGTTCAAAATTTCATTGTCTTTGCTGAAAATCAATTTGACACAAAAATCAAATGCATTTGCACTGATAATGGTCCAGAATTAATTCTTAAAGATTTTCTAGCATCTGAAAGCATCATTCATCAAACTAGTTGTGTGTACACTCCCCAACAAAATGGAAAAATTGAAAGAAAACATCAACACATTCTTAATGTTGCTCGTGCACTTATGTTTCAATCTCATCTTCCTAAACATTTTTGGTCTTATGCGGTTAAGCATATTGTTTACTTAATTAACCGCGTTCCTTCTCCTGTCATTCAAAACATGTGCCCCATTATAAGCTTTACACAAACAAACACCTGTTTTTTCCATGCTTAATTAAAATTTTTGGTTGCTTATGTTACGTTTCCAGACACACTCCACATAAAAAATTTGATGCTCGTGCATGCGAGGGAGTTTTTCTTGGTTTTGATATTGGAACTAAGGGATATTGTTATGTTTTATTTGATTTCTAAAACTATATTTACATCACGAGACGTTTTCTTTTATGAATTTAACTTTCCTTTCACACCAAACCCAAGTCCAAACACCATTGTTCCTCACGTCACTACCCCTCCTATGGATCCTTATCTTGACACCTATCCACCCAACTTTTCCCTTCCTAGTCATAACTCCTAATCTAACCCACCCTTTATACCATCCCAATCCAACATAGATCAAACTGACACAAACCAAAACAACATAACACCTATCCATCTATCATCACCTTTGGATACACCAATTTCAACCCCACCTGCACCACCTCTTCGTAGTTCCACTCGCCCTAGTAAACCACCTCCTTTCCTTCACGATTTTCAGTGCAATTCTTTGTCTACAATGCCAAATCCATCATCTTCAGGTGCCTGTATCCAATTTAGTCTGTTGTTAATTATTGTCGAATTTCTAACTCTCATCGCCACTATTTAATGAGTCTTTCTTCTGAGCATGAACCCCGTAATTATCATGAAGCTATCTCTAATTCTTGCTGGGTTGAGGCCATGAACGTTGAGGTTGATGCCTTGGTCCTGAATAAAACCTGGGATATTGTGGATAAGCCTCTCCATGTCAAACCCATTGGGTGTAAATGGGTTTTCCGAATCAAACGCAAACCAGATGGAATTGTCGAACGCTACAAAGCGCGTTTGGTAGCCAAGGGTTTTGCACAAATTGAAGGATCGACTATTTTGAAACTTTTTCCCCTGTTGTGAAAATGACAACCATTCGCGTTATTCTTGCTCTTGCATCTATTAATCGTTGGAAACTTCAGCAACTAGACGTTAGCAACACGTTCCTTCATGGGGATTTTACCGAAGATGTGTACATGTCAATTCCTCCTAGATTAGGCTCCTATGATCCATCTAAATGCTGCCAATTGAAGAAATCTCTCTATGGTCTCAAGCAAGTCAGTCACAAATGGTATGAAAAGCTTTATTTTTTGCTTCTCTCTTATGGTTACAATCAAGCTCAAACTGATCATAGTATGTTCATTAAAGTCTTTAGTACTGACATTATTACTATGATTATATATGTTGATGATATTGTGTTGACTGGAAATTCACTCATTGAAATTGCCCATATCAAACATAACTTCACTCCAATTTTCACATTAAGGATCTTGGAATTTTAAAATATTTTCTAGGCTTAGAGGTGGCTCATTCAGACACAGGGATTTCCCTATGTCAACGCAAATATAGTATTGACTTACTAACGGATGTTGGCAAGCTTGGTTGTAAACCCTCCTTTACACCAATGGGTAGTTCTCTTCGCCTCCATCAAGACTCTAGCCCCTTGTTGACAAATACCTTATCCTATCGACGTTTGGTTGGACGATTATTATATCTCACTACCATACGTTCAGACATTGTATATGCCACACATCAACTTAGCCAATTCATGACTCATCCCACTCAGACTCACCACTGTGCCGCCATAAAAGTTTTATGCTATCTCAAAAGTTGTCCAAGCAAAGGTCTTCTTTTTTGTAAAGACTTTCCCCTTCAAATATCTAGTTTCAGTGATGTCGATTGGGCCACTTGTGTTGATTCTCGATGATCTATCACTGGTTATTGCTTCTTCCTTGGACATGCCTTGATCTTATGGAAGACCAAGAAACAAAACACTGTCTCTCGATCTTCTTCTGAGGCCGAGTATCGCGCTCTTGCATCCACTACATGTGAACTTCAATGATTATCTTACTTGCTAAATGATCTTCAAGTCACTTGTTTTAATTCTGTTGTTTTATTTTGTGATAACCAAAGTGTTCTTTATATTGCAACCAATCTTATCTTTCACGAACACATAAAACATTTGAATATTGATTGTCATTTAGTACATGAAAAATATCAAACAGGATTAATGCACTTATTACCAGTTTCCTTCTCACATCAACTAGTAGATATATTTACCAAAGCTTTCCCACCTAGACTATTTCATTCTAATCTATCCAAGATGATGTTAGTTGACATTTTCATACCTCGAGCTTGTGGGGGCTAATAGAAGCAAATCCCAATCTGACAAAAAACAATAAAATTGAATACAAAAGTAAAGCAGATTGTAAAACCAAAATAGAAATTAGTACATCAAAAGAATATGCTAAAAAATAATATTATATATAGGATAAATTTGTTTTTACTTTTTTTTCCTATTAGGTCATCTTTTATGTATTTATATTGCATATTTGTAAAACCAATTCAACAATAAATTACATTTTCATTATTGTCTGTTTTTTTTCTGTCTCTTTTAATTGGTAATGTTATGAACTCAGAGTTAAATTATTTAGATATTTCATTTTTGACGAAAATAATCATTGATAAAACTTTATTTACCTTTTACATAATTATATTAATTTCAGGTAATCATATTTATCGATAATATACATTAAATTAAGAATTATATTATTTTAAAGTGATCATATTTATGAATAAAAAATAATATTTAATAAATTATTGAAAATAGTATTGAAATATAAACTAAGAAAAATATTACGTTAATATGACTTTATATGTTCTATTTTCAAATTTATTTTGTAAATTAATTATTTATATATACTATTTAATTTTTAATAATTAGTGTTTAATTCTCTATGTGTTTGTCGAACAAATAAAAAAAATTACATGAATTAATTAAATTCAATAAGAATATTATATTTGCGACTCAGCGTGAGACAGCTGCACTAAAAGCAATCCTACACGTAGAAAACGGATGGTTAGATTTTCTAACTTTTATGCATCTAACGGTGCAGAGGGCTGCTGCAATCGGAATTCATGAAATTCTTGGCATATCTTTAAGAGGAGTTAAAAGTTTCAAAACTATTAGCTTCTTAGTTGTATGTACGTAAAATTTGCATTTCCTATCATTTATATTCTAAAGTTTGAATCTAGTAGTATAAAAATAGGTTTAGTTTTATACATCGATTAAAAAAAAGTTAAATTAAGAAAAAAAAATTATGATTTAAATTAAATTTTATATATTTTTCTTTGACCCATTTAAATATAATTCAGATTAACTCATTAATTAGTAGGTAAGTTTATTTATTAATCTGTTTTATAAATAATAATTATTTTTTAAATAAAAATAATATTATTTTATTAAAATAATAAAAAAATTATTTATTTGAAGACTAATAAAAATATAAAAGTAAATATTTAGCATTTAGTTATTTAATGAGCTAATAATTAATGAATTATTATTTTATATTAAAATATTATTAAAAATTAAATAATAAAATAAAAAGTAAGTTTTTAATTCTTGAATAAATATTTTATCTCATAATTTATATATTAAATTATTATATTTAAAATAAAAAATAATTGTATTAATATAATTTATTTTTAAAATACACTTTTATTTAATTAATTATTTTAATATAAATATGTTAATAATTTTTTAAAATTTTCAATCAGACAAAATTTTATTTATTAGTTTATTGACTTAAGACAATATCCAAAACATCGAGTTAAATAAAAAAATTATTATTTGTTTAGAAATATAACTCAAACTGAATTGTTAATATTTTTTAATTCATAAAGTCAGATGAAAACGATGAATCCATTTTAACAATTCTAATAAAATGATAATATATTTTTAATAAGATGTAATCTTTTTATAAGTTTATAATACGTCTATGTATATATACTTAATTTTAAAATTTAATTATTAATTTTTAAATCTTTATCATAATAAAAAAAAATCGTGTTTTACATGTTTTACTGAATAAAAATGTTATATTACCATTAAATGATAGAAAAAAACTTCATATATTTCGTTTAAATTTTATTTTCACATAATTTACACATTTTATTTATTAGTATTATTTTTTATATTAAATTATAAAATATTTATGATATTTTTAAATAAAATTGATTTAATTTGTAAATTAAATGAATCCGGTGGATAAATTATAATTCAAAAAACTCAAAATTTCAAATTCCTTATAATTTATAAATTGGGGTAATTCATCAATTTAAATATAAATACTTACATCTAATTATCTTGTCCTAACTACGTATAACATCGATATAGACCAATACTTTGTCGGAACGGATATATGAGTTATGCTCGGACGATTTGACTCATTAACGTGTTAAAAAGATATAAATCCGACTAGGTGATTCAACTCAGTTCATTGCCTATTTCTCGCATAGTTACCAACATGCTGATCTTAAAAAAATAAAAACAAAGTTGTATTAAAAATTCAAATTTAAAATATGCATTTTTTTTAGAGTTTATTGTTTTTAAAAAAAGATAATATATATTTATTGTTATTATGAGTTTATTTTATACATTTAATATCTAATATAAATAAAAAGTTAATATTAAGTTAAATTTCAAGTAAAATATTATTACATTTTATCTCTTTTAATTAAATTTATCTATTTAAACTAATTATATAAAATAAATAATTTGAAAGTTTTGATCCTCTTTTTAATTTTTTTTAACCTATCTAAATTAGAATCACTTAAAAATAAAAATAAATATTTTATTATCAATTTCATATATTTAAAATAAAAAAAATGCTTATACAAATAACTTTAATTCATATACGTATTCACAATAAAATATTTATTCTAACGTCTCATTGATCTATTTTGGGAAGACCGGTGAAGGTCGGAACTAAACGGACCGCGTTAATGTTTAAATAATTCACAATGAATGAATCATTTTTAACTTTCTGTTTTTTATTATTATTCTTTAAAAGGCACTACTTTTTGTTTCTTGTTCGTGCATAAATTGGAGATCCAACAATAAAATTTGCTGGGCCCATAATCAGATATCAATTTTTTTACTTTTTGCTACCCATTATCTAGTGCTTTTGTTTTATAATGCTAAAAATGGTCTTTTAACTACAATGAAAGGAAACTGAAGTGAGACCCCAAAAACGGGAAAAGAAAAGAAAAGAACAGAGAGGAAAAAGAGTCACATTAATTAGTACCATAAGCCCCCAACATAGTACAGATGAAAATCAATGTGTGTACAGGGGCATGTCCCTTGTAAAGAAAAGATGAAGTGATAAACATCACAGAAAAACAACATAAAACTCCACAATCCAACCCTTAACCATGTACCCTTCACATAACCATACCCTTCACTTCACACAAGGTCAAGAGATACAGATATATATATATATATATATATATATATATATATATATATATATATATATATAATATACATCACATATTGTCAATAGAAAATTTTCCAAACGAAACTAATTAAGCGGGCGAACGGAGTCCGCCACTGCCCTCTTCAGTCTCGCCGCCGCGCGCCACCGCCGCAATCACCACTATTTCTAGAATCCTCTACCTCTATTCTACAATAAGGAATGCTAATAACATCATCTTCCAAACGCATTTTTTATTATTGGTTAAAATCCATTAGAAATCACAAAATTTGTGGGTCTCGTATAACGAGTCTCACAGATAACTTTGTAGTTTCCAACAAACTTTAACGATAATAAAGAAGGCAGAAGAAGAAATATATCAAAGAAAGCATTGTTTTAGCACTTCCCCACCCTAATAATTAAAATAAAAGTATATGGAATGCATTACTTGAGAAAATAATGCCTCCTAAATTTGTTTTTGGTTTTGTATCTTTGCATGATCTAAGTAGGTACACTAGTATAATATAATATTAATATAAGTAAAAAGAAGTGGTTGCATGCATCACCACATTGAATCACCATAGGTGGTCTGGTCCACCACCATGTCCATCTCCATGTCAAAAATGGGCTTGGATTGTGAGTGAATGATCTTGGATGATGGAGAGGCACTGTTGGTAGGGCTAGTGGGGCTGTAGAGGGATGCACTCTGGCGCACTCTGAGGTGCACAGCTTCAGCTTGAGCCACAGCCAATTGGGTCTGCAACACATCAATCTGTTGCTGAAGAGATGAAATGGCCCCTACACAGCCATACACAGGGTCCCTCACTCTTGCATTTGCCTCATACACCATGCTGCTGACTGCATCTCCTCTCTGATGCTCTGGTAACTCCTATAACACAGACCAAGTAGTACTTCATTTCTAAATTTCCCTCCAAACTCACTATTTATTATAGTACGAATTCTTCATACCTTATGTAATTTAATCACTGATATGAAGAAAAAGTTCTCTTGAAAATTAAGGTAGAAATACACTTATAACATTCATGTCACTTTCACTAGTTATTTTTCTAACACTATTATATCATATGCTTAAACAGTACCTTCCCTTCTTTTTCTTTATCTCGTTTCTTCTTCTTCTTTTTTTTCCCATATTACATCATCTATATTATATCAGTCACTGTTCTTCCTTTTTGAAGAAACTTTATTAGAAATTTTTAAGATCTTCAAATTATCTTGTGTTAAACTTTTTAACAAAAGCATCTTTAGTTACTTGATAAATTTATTGACTATATCTCCATTTCACTTAAACAAGGAAAGACCAATAGTCGTTGGGAGAAAAAAGTTCTTCAATTTTAAAAGTATTTTTAATAATTTATGTCAAATTTTACGAATTAATTAAAAGGACCCCCTCTCTCCATATATATAGTAACCATTATTTGAACACCATAGTAGTTAATAAAATTGTTTGCGATAAGTTAAAATATTGCATGTTTGACAAGGAAATGAGTAATTTTATTCAATGATTGATTAAAAAAACTGAGTGTCAAAAGCAGCTTCACGTGGTGCAGAAGCAGGATGTTATTTCAATCATTTTTTTTTCTTTTATGACAATAGAAGGTGAAGTGGAGTTTGGATTCTTGAACGTGGTTTCACACAATCTCGTACGTACGTTACTTGTTAAGTTTCCCTTTGTGTTATGCTTGACCCTGACTTTTGGTGACAAAACCACGTTTGGAAGCTCCCATTGGATGACCAAAGATACGATCAATGAGGAAAGAGATATAATTAAGTTTCTCAAAAATCTAAATAAATATTAATGCTACACATCAACTTTTTTCAAATAATATATATATATATATATATATATATATATATATTTTTTTTTTTTTTTTTTCTATTTTCATTTTGTCTCATTCTTTTTCATTTTTTACGAACACATGGCAGACCAAAAGATGAGACTGACCTAATATTGAAATATGAGGGAATGGAAAAAGCAGACAAAGGGATTAGGACGTAAGATGTGAGGTTTGAAGGCGCCGAATGCCTAATCTTCTCCACCTTTTCTAATTTTTCAAGGGCTACTTGGAAAAAGGAAAAAATATATCAACCTGGATGTGGTTTTTCACAATCACTTGTCTCAAAAGCTTAAGTCCATATACAAAGACACATACCAATAATTCTCTGTTATATTTTTCACACACAAAGGTTCATGTTCCTGTATCTGTGTTTGTCTAATACATACAAATTAAGCTTGTAACTTCTTTCTGCCCAAATCATTTTGATATTGAGTTACTGAGTCAAAATATGTTTCTTTTGAATAATATATATACTGAGAGTGCCACAAAGATTCATCGGTTATAGGGGTACCATTCCGTGCTTATAAAGTGTTTTCTACGTGTATATTATGCAGTTCTAAACCATGGAAGAATTGGCTGAAGATAAAGAAACAAATTTTCTACCATGTTTATGATTTAAATAGTTTAAAGTAATTCGCAACATTATGAAGAAAGAAATTGAGGATGAAGGATGATAAAGCTTAAGAGAAAATAATGTGAAAGATTCCCTTTTGGTCAAGGAAAGCGTCGCACTAGTCTGCAAGGTTGTTTATCTTTATACCAAAACTGACACCATTAGTTCTTTAAGAAAATGACTTCTCATTTAGCACTTTAGCAAGAAACTTTATTCATCAATTTCATAATTTTTCTGTACAATTTTATTCTCTTATAATATTTGAAAAATATAAAACCACCTAAGGAAAATATACATATATTAAAAGTTCTCACTTGTATTATCTCAGCAATCATAGTGTGTCTTTAGTTCAACAGTGACAATAACATACTCGAATAAATCTGAGGAAAATTAGAGTCACATCTACCACCAGATCCATATTCTTGTTTCTGAAAACCGAAATGTTTAATCCATGGACTTAGATATGTGTGAACCTAATTAAGAAAAGGTGGGGAATACTTAATATAACCAGAAAAAGTGTATCCTGAACCAATTAGTGTTAATTAATTAAGTTCAGTTTATTTCAAGTAATTTAAACATTGAGATCAATCTTATCTGAAGAGGATAAAACATATAATATGTCCAATAATGTAAGAAGAATGCAAAGGAAGAGAAGAGTGAACCTGAAGCATCTTGTTGACATTGCTGGCACCAAAGACTCTGTGGACATTTGCAAACTTGTGGGGTTCATCAGCAGGAAAATAAGGAGCAAAAACACAATCCTGAGCACACCTTCTCCGAAGGAGTTTGCATGCAGCACAGGGTGAGGGTGCACCCTGCTTCCTACCACCATCTTTCATGTTTCCCTTCTTCTGAAGTTCTAATAGGACATGAGAATGGTAGAGGAAGGAGGAGGAGGATTTATAGCTGAAAAGAAAGGAGGAAAAGTGACAGGAAGAAAAGACAGAGAGGGCGTGTGTGTGTGTGTGTGTGTGTGTGAGAGAGAGAGAGAGAGAGTGTGGTGGGGATAGAGAATGGAGGAGGCCTGCATTATATAATAATTAAGAAAAAAGAGCAGCACAGTAGTACATGAATCCATGTACAATTCATGTGGGTCCAATTAATTAACCCATAAATTAAATTAAAGACCTTTGGTTCCTCTCCACGTTTCCATCGACAGACATTTCCATCGATGTTACATTGGGTCCCCAACATCTTCTTGTCCCATTGTCTATTTCTACTGCTTCATGCGTGCGACTAGCAATTTATATTAACAATGAGTAGGTCTCACTAGGTAATTAACATCCTACTTTTCTTTCCATTTTAAATATTTCTATTTTATTAAAAATCTTTATGCGTGGATTCATATTTATGACTAATGTTTTTAGTATTAGTAAGTCAAAATAGTCTAATTCAATAAATAACTTGAATAGTTTAATTATGAATCCAGCTAAATTATAAAAATATTATCTTAAATTGAATTTTGATTATTTCTTTTTCCTAATTCGTGTAACTTTCGATCCAAATAGATTTATTATAGTTAGTTGTCTTGTCGGTTTTTTGAAGATAATAATTATATATTACTAAATTAAATTTTTATTTTTAATAAAAATGAACAAATAATATCTACATAGACTAAAACAAAAATATTTATTTTAAAAGAACTAAAGTAAAAAAATAGTATTTATAAAACATTTAAAATAGAAGAAAAACTAGACTCACTTAACTAAGGTGAGGTTTTTATGATAATTAAATTTATGATATTTAAAATTAAAAAAGATAAATCATCTAAACAATAAAATATTTATTCAACTAATTTAAAAATGAGTAATTAATAACTTATGTTAATTTAGTTAGATTTAATATATCATAATTAGGTATGACCTGACTCAATTTAATTAAGTATGATTTAATCTAGTTTGATTTAGTCCAATTTAGTTTAGATTTAATCTAATCTAATTTTGATTTTGATTCATCTTACTAGTCTTGTCTTCGTGTAGTTAAATTTGAATTAACTCAATTTGACTTGATTTGATTCGACCTATCCCGATAGAACTTAATTTGATTTGATTAAGTTTAACTTAATTCTACTCAAGTTGACCTATATGACTTGATATGATTGAGATAATATGATATAACTCAACTTGAACTAACTTAACCCAACCTAATCTTACATGCCCTAATCTAGCTCATATTCGACTTGACTTCTTTAGAATAAATCCAACTTATTTAACTCAATCTAATCGACCTAACTTAGACTAACCTAACCTAGCTACCTCAATCAAACTTGACCCAACCCTATCTTACTTGATCAGAGCCGACTTAACTCAATTCAATTTGACATAACCGACCTTACTTAACTTAATCTAACATTATACTATTTCAATTTAATCTAGTTCGACTCGAAATATTCTACTTAGTTTTATCATGATTTAAGTCTTAGATACATAATTAGATCTTGGTTTTGAATTTTACCAACCAAAATTCAATACATATTCAATCTTAATTTAATTTATTTGATTGAATTTAAAATCTAAAAATATGAATTTGCAAAGACTAAAAAAATTCTAAGTTTACATTAATCTCTCTTTCATCCTACTTATTAGGAGTCAAGAGGTTTATTTATAGATTTTTCCTTTTTATGATCTTGTGGAGTATATTAGGTAACGACAAACTTATCCCCTGATTTATAGGTTAATTTGTCTTGTTTTCTCTTTATTAAAAGAGTAAGTAATGCACTTAAGTTTAATAATAGACATATTATTTTGACGTCTAATATAGAAATGGATTAAAACTGACTTATTAGATGATTTAATCTAATACTAGATGAAGAGAAAATGTCAATCTTTGTAGTGATTAAACATAAAATTTAAGATAAATAAATTTGGATAATTAAAAATTTAGAGAAAATCTCTTCTTTCATCTATTTTTTATGAAAGAATTTTTTGTGAAAGCCCTTTGATGTGGTGGGAGTGCTTGTAACAGGACAAGACACTTAAGAAGTTAGTGTACTAAAGTGCATTATTATGTATTGTATGTGAGTTACGTACTTGGTCTGATGCTCCTCTTCCGATTATTTTGAGTTCAGAAACAGTTACTAGCTCCATAACTGTCCCTCCACACTTTCCACCAACCTTCTTTCGTGTACGTGTACGACATTCGATGAGAACCCCACACATGCCAGTGACCGAATAACCATCCAGTTCAATATTCTACTCAAATATTGAACCATCCATTAAATAATTGATTAGGATATATAGGAGTTAAAGATGACCTCAAACTATAAAATTATAAACATATTTTTACCCATTTAATAATAATAATAATAATAATAATAATAATAATAATAATAATAATAATAATAATCTGAAAAGGGAAACGATTTCATTTTAAAAAATGGGAATCCAAAATTAACTCGAACTAATACATTTCTAAATTTTTAGTTTATTTATTTATTTATTGAAATCTCTTTAGTTTTTAAACTTTTTGAATCGATTAAGTAATATGGAAGAATTTGAATTGAATATGAATACCCTTTACGTAGTGGAAATAAATTGTTACTTTGAATTAACATGTTAAAGTGATCGGTTCAAAAATGATGTTTAAGAATGAAAAAAAAGAAGAAGCAAGAAAAGAATTAGTAATATACTTTTTAACATGGTTTTGAATCTATTGAATCCTAGTTAAGTTGAGCCTCATCTAGATTAACATGTTCCTCACCTGCATTTAGATGAACAACCAGTTGGAAAATCATCCCAATTGAGTGTGAGACCCACAACATGACAACAACCATATACTTCTCCTTAATTCAAAGGTTGAATTTCCAAGCCATTTACACCTAATTCTGTGAGCCAAATAGACATTTAGCTATTCAATTCTTTTGTTCAATATTTGAACAATAATTCTTTTAATAGATGGAGCACAGTTCCTCTCCTAGTTTTAGGGAATGGATTAAAGTAAAATGAGCATATAAACAATAATAAGTGTAACTAAAATGTCCTCTAAAAGTGTCTTGGGGAAGGAAAGAGGACTATAGGGTTTGGCAAGAAAGTTAAGCAATATATGGAATAGTGTTTTCAACTTTATACCAATCCATGCAACATAAACAAAACATATTGAGGAAATGATCCCTTAGGTAAATATTTTATCAATATGAGAAGCTTATAATGCCATGATCTTTGAGTTATCTATGAATATAGTTTTTTAGTCAACTAGTAGGACTACTGTTACTTGGTCAATCACTATGCTTTATGTTTAATTTACTTAATAAAAACACAAACAGGAAAATATATTTTTATAACATTTTTTTTACTTTTGAACCATGACCCTTAGGATAATATATAATACAACTTTTTTATATTATAAATATTTTTATGAAAAACAATTAAACTATTATTAATAAGAGAACATTCTTTCCAAGCAATAATATCAGTGTTTTCAAAGAACAATGAATAAATAGCTAACATAAAAATTAAACTCAAGTCTTTTTGAATAAACTTATCCTTAAACATTTTCAGAAAGAAAAAAAAAACAATTACAGTTTAATATTTTGTATATTCTATCTCGTAATTAAATAATTCGAGAAAGAGTTTACCTTTCTCTGTATGGAGCAACAATACGGAAATAATGCAGTACAGTTTTCTTTGACGATAGAAATTATTAATAAAAGATTCTTGCAGGCCATTATATACAAATTGAACTTCTTTACACTCATAACAAGAAAATAGTTATAAAAAGTTGAAGCCGTTGGTACGAACTATATAAAGTGAACTAGAGATCACTTATCACGCTTCCAATTTTTTTTTTCCTATACTTTTTAATTGAGTCCAATACTAATAAAAATTAAATATTTTTTATCATATTTTTAATTTGATTATAATTTTTGAATAAATTTATGTTATTCTTTTGATATTTTTTATTATCTAAAATATTTTTTAATCTATTCTTTTGAATAAATTAAACATTATCATTATTTTAAAAATTAGATTGATCTATTGCTTAAATCAATTCAATTCAGAATCGATTTAGAAATAGATTTGTTGATTTTTAATAATTGAGTTTTAATTAAATTAGTATAAAGTTAAAAAAATTAGATAAATAAGTGTTGTTAAACAAAATTTAAAGATTAACTTTTTAAAATATAATATTTTTATAAAAAATATAATATTTTTTAATTTTTTTCTTTCTTTATTTTATACTAGTCACATCAAATTTAATAATTATTTTTTTATTTTATTTAATGATTAATAGTCTTTCAATTTTTATTATAATTTCTAACGACTATAATAATAATAATAATTGTTTATATATAAAATTATTTTAATTAATTTATTATATATTTATTATATTATAAAAATATTATTTTATTACATAATAATGATTTTTTATTTTTTTTATATTTTTTAATTAATTTATTTTATATTTATTATATTATAAATATTATTTTATTAAATTCAGTTAGATTTGATTAAATTTATATCTTGACAGATTTAATAATGATCCAATTTTATTCTTAAAGATGACAAAACAAGTTCAGTCAACCCATCTCAAAATGACGATAAACTTGTTTTTGTCTCGTCCGCTTAACTTATTAACTCATGAGTTAAGGGTAGAATGGAGTGAACTAACTCGTTTTAAAAAAATTATATATTAAAATTAAAATAAAAAAATTATAATTAAAAAAATTATATAATTTTATGTTATTTTATTGAAATATGTAAATATATTATAAAATTATAATTTAAATTATAAAAATGAATCAATTAAATTTAAATTATTAATTATTTTAACACATAAATATAATAATTTTTTAATTTATTTAATAAAATATTAATTAATAAATACAAACTTAAAAGTTATTCATATAATTAAAATATATTTTAAAAAAGTACATATAAATAAATTTTATATAAAAAATTATTAGCGATTGATTCACTGGTTCATCTGTATGTCTTTTGATGGAACGAACTGATATCTAGAGTTAGTTTTGATTAAGACGAAACAATCTATCACATTTTATTTTTGATGGATTAGAGGCCGATGAATCAAAACAGAAAAAAATAATCATTTTATCATGTGAAAATCATATTTATTTATATATAATTAGTGTCCCCATTTTTTGCATGACATTTAATAAAACTGATTAATAAAATTGATTGAAGAAATAATATTCATTTATTGAAAA